GGGATTAATAGCGCGGCCTTAGAGAGGAAATTCCCGGAGATACTTGACAGGTTGCGAGCTCTAAAGATGGACAAGTTCTTGGAATGCACGGGGCATGCCAACCTGAACATGGTTCGAGAGCTATATGCTAACTGGGATTACAAACGGTGCACTTCACGTGTAAGAGGAAAAGATGTGCCGATGGGCAGGGAGTATTTGTGTGAATATTTGAGGGGTTGAGAATGCCGACCCAAGGAGACTCCAACGCTTTATCCGAAAGCTGAAATATGAGCTCATACGTCACACTCTTTGTGGAGTAGATTCCAATGCTAAGTGGATACGGAAGCAAGGCAACAATCACCTCTCTATGGTACGCTCAGACTTCAACAAAGCTGCCAAAGTGTGGCAGAATTTTGTGCGGGCGATACTAATGCCGGCGGAGCACAGCAGTGACTGCACTCGAGCTAGAGTGTGTCTCATCTTCTCCTTGATGACCGGCCGACCAATTAATGTAGCTGAGATCATGCTCGATGAGATGGCCCGCACGAGGTTTGGGCGACAGATTCGGCGGTCCTTCTTTGGCAATTTACTTACCCAGTATATGATATCTCGAAGAGTGGGGGAGTACCCCGGTCATGATGAGGTGGTGGAGGCTCCGGATGGGCTTATGGACATCACATCTGTGGTGGAGACATCGTCCAAACTCACCCCCGCTACTCGGATGGAGCGAGAGGAGAACTTCAACAGGTACATTTATAACTCGTTGAACCTACTCATGAGCAGGGCTGGCACTACAGATGCGGAGCGCACGCATTTGCGCGATGAATTGTCTAGCGCGTCCAAGGAGATGTTGGGGATTGCACCTGGCAGCCTCGTTCACTTGTCTGAGGACATCAACTCTGCCAAAGGCTCCGATACTGAGGATGAGGATGAAAATGGTGCTACGGGCCCCATGACTTTGGTACCTTTCGGACCGGATGATGATGACCCTAGCGCTGCTGGGGGGAGTGGACTTTAATTGACAGGGAGTTTTTCTTTTCACCCTAATCTGTTTTTCATTTTTTACTTGCATCGAGGGCTATGCATAGTTCAAGTGTGGGGTGGGAGGAATACTACCTGTGCTATAGTTGTATATTTTGTATTAACTTGTTTTGATTTTTTTTTTCTTTCCAGTAGTTCTAGTGTAGTTAGTCTAGTGTAGTATTAGTTGCTTTAAATGAAAATTTTTTTTTGAAAAAGCTCGGACTTTTCCCGACGATGGATCTTTTGGACAATTTTCTTGAGGGATAAAAGTCCGATTTAAAAACACCAAAAATATTTTTGTTTTTTTTTTATTTTTAATTTTTTTTTAGAATAGCTAGGTAGTATTCCTTGGTTTTTCTTTGGGCACCGGTTCTTTTCCAAGGATGTAGCTCGAACCGGGCACTTTAATTTCTTTTTAGGAGTAGTTTAGGAATAAACTGAGTCGTTCTGGGATACTCATTGACATGGTTGATGCTGGCACATTAGGCTATGACATGCATTCTATTTTTCCCGTGTATTTGGTTTGAATTGTGAAGCCTAAGTAAAGTAAATAGCCTATTTTGTGACGCCTTTTCTCAGCTGTTTGACTTGTATGCCGCATAGTGCAATGTTGCTTAAATTTCTCATTTAATTGTGCTTGCTTGACTTGAGAGTTGAACAGAACCGTCTTGATTGAGTCATGTGCAACGTGTGTGTGAGGATTCGTGATTTTCTATGCTATCCTGTGTAGTCTAGAACTTGTCCCGTGTGTTAATTGAAGAGAAATTGTAAGTTGTGCTAATCTAGGAGATGACGTAGGCATTTTTTTTGCTTGATCATGGATGTGCTTGTCACATAATAATAGAATTTTCCATTGCTAGCCCCTTTGAGCCTGTAGACCTTTCTTTTGGCACCCACATTACAAGCTATACCCCTATTTTGTTCTTAATTTGATATTGATTTAACATTTACCTCCTAAGGCACTTAGTCGCTAAAAGAAGTAAGGTTAGAGATGGGGGAGTAGCTTTTGAGTAGAACCATGGAATGGCTCGTTGGTGCACTAAAGTTGAATTTAAAGGTCACTAGCTGATGAACTTTATTGTATGGAGTGTGTGAAGAAAAGAAAAAAAAAAGAGGAAGAAGAATTTAAAGAAAAAGAGAAAATATATATATATATATATATGATAGTTCAAATAATGTAGAAAAATAAACACCTCCAATTCTTATTGATTTGTGCTAGTGAAAAATAGAGAAGTGCTTAATTGAAAAGAGGGCTATGTTGTATATGGCAAGTTTGGTTGAGAAGAGTATGTGCTCGAATTGTAAATTTAGTGTATTAAAGTGCTTAGGAGGGTTAGCCACTATTCCTAAATGTATCGTACCCATCCCTTAGCCTACATTACAACCTAAAAGTCCTAATTGATCCTAAATTTGGCTAGCTTAAATTAGTAGAGATATACACTAAGGGCAAGCTTATAGTACGACCACGGGATGCATATGAATTCTTTGTGAGAGTGAGTGAATTTTGTTCATTTGTGTGATGTCCTTAATCTATATTCAAAAGTATATTCGAATGTGTGGACCAATTTATACTCACTCTTTTGTTTGTTGGTGAGGGCACATGATCTCATGAATGATTGGTAATGTTGTAAACTTTCTTGTTGGGTAAGCGCATGAATTGAGGGTGATTATTGGTTGCAAGTCGATTATTGAGGTTGGGTGGTGACAAATAGGTGGTTGGAATTTATTGAATTGAAATATTATACTTGGGTATGCTTAAACGGGAAGAATGGGAATTTTTGTGTGTTCATGCTTGTGTGCCGGTATTGATCGTGGTCAAGGGTATAGTGTGTGGTTAAAAGTTAGGGTGCTCCTCTATGATTGAACTTTGTACGTAGTTGGGGGTTTATTAGATTGTCCAATTGCTCGAGGACGAGCAAGAGTCTAAGTGTGGGGTGTTGATGTTTAGCTTAAAGTATATATATTTTTATGTATATCGCCTCATATTTTAATCTTGTTTCGTGAATTTGGGATGTTAAATGCTATGAATTATATTAATTTGAAGTGTTTTTACTTGTAGGAATGATTCGGGAGCAAGTGGGGGCAAAACGTGCAAGATTTGAAGCTAAAACGGACAAAATCGGAAAAAAAGCCAGTTGGGCGCCACAGGCAGCGCCTGGCGCCACCTGTGGCGCTGAAAACAATATGCTCAAAAAAATTGGGGCGCTATGGAGGGCGCTGGCGCCGGGCTGGGCGCCGGTGACGCGAATTGTGTCCTATTTCGAATGGCCAACAATTTGGACAGAGGGAGCTACTTAGCTTCCCTACTTTGATATCGATCGTGCTGGTTTCGGGGGTGACATGCATATTATTTGATAACGTCGAGAGATAAAGAAATGCATTGTAATTTTATGAAGATGCATGCAGCTTCTAGGAACATACCACCACCCTGTAAATATTCCAAAATTCGGTTATAGACAATTTAGAATTGCTAATATTCTATTGTTGAAAGATGAACCACAAACTTTAATCTAAGAAATCTTAATTAGCAACAAGACCAAAGTATATTAGTATTTGACAAAATAGTGAATAGAAGGGAAAAAAGAAAAAAAACGCAATTTATTAATTTGCATTAGTTAATTAAAAGATATGTATAACACTCAAAAGATAGGACAAAAGTGATGAAGGTAAAATTAGAACGGATAAGATAATTAAATTCTGAAGTGTCCAAGTTAATTAATACTCGATATTATGTCTCAATCAAGCACTTCAGAAAGCTAGGATTACCTTAGAAAAATAGAAAGAAAGAAAAAAATATGCTTTAAAAATACTGGTGAAAACGCGTTTGCAGACACATAAGTCTCTACCAGTTTGTCTTTGACAGACAAAATAAAAGTTCAAAAGGTATTAACAAATCTATGGAAGCCAGTAACATAAAGTTAATATGTTAAATTCTACCTGCCCTGGTTGTAAACTTACGCAATGTCCAACTCATATATATAAAGCCAGTTAAAGATAATAAGTTGATCCAAAAAAAAAAAAGTTAAACAAAACAAGTGGATATGTTAAATACTAGTATTAGACGAATTATATTAGTCTGCTTCCTCCGTGTCAATTCAACGATATTCTTAAGTATCTGTTTTCTATATGTTGACGGCAAATATCGAAGGCATTTTCAACAATTATTGGAAGGGAAAACATTCTTGCGAGATTTCAAAAAAAAAGAAAAAGAAAGGAAGTTCATCGTACAAATGCTAAATCATTTTCTTTTGTTTTCAAATGACGAATTTATTGAACATTTTATTACGTTCTGAATAAAAGTAAAAATTGGATTTAGGAAATCAAAATTCAAAAGTGAACAAATATCAATTTGGGAGAAAATGGGCATGCATACTTGATCCAAGTAATTTCAGTTTTTGAGTTAGGTGGTATGAGATATAGTGACTGAAAATTAGAGAGACGTGAGAATAGAAATTGAAAAATTAAATGATTATGTATTATATCAAGATTTAATTTGTACCACCAAGGAAAGTAGTGTCATGAATGAGATCTTGTCATTATTAACGAGGTGAAAATAAAGAGACTCTTAGTTAGAGCGCTTTCTTTTTTAATGAGCTTTGCATCGGATGATCCAAACTAGTAGGGTCAATTCTAGACACAAGATGTTTATAAAAAGAGGAAAAAAAGAAAAAAAAAAAACAAGACTAAATCTGCTAAGCAATATAGAGAGAGTTACATGGGCAGTCTAAGGACATGAATACATTGTCTCAAATAATTCCATCATGAAGAACAATTCAATTAAATCATGCCAGTCAAAGTCTAAGGAAAATTAATCATGCTATAAAATAAAATATTTCCCACCATTTTATTGCACTTGGAGAACACAATAAATGATACAGCATATGACACAGTACATTTCTACAAATATATAGTATATCTAAACAGGAATTTTCTAGGAACTCACATGGGAGAGTCCAGAAAATATGGTTTCTCTCTTTGTATATGTCCCTTTTTTTTTCCTTCTCTTACCTAATAAATTTAAATATAATTAGTCACTGTCAGTGATGTTGTTCAAGAAAAAATAACTTGACATCACCTAAAAAAAATATTGCTCCTTTTTGTTTTTTGTTTTTATGAAAGAATAATTAACAAATAGGGTTAATAATTCAAGTGAGATCTTCCTTCTCTTCTTCATCAGCAAAAACTCCATAAAGGGATATCTGCAGATCCTTCTTCATAATAAACTTCATCCATTAATGGGGGATCAAAGAAAACGGTACCGTGAAGCATGTCATTGTACTTTGGAGAATCAAAGTTGTACCATTGCCCCATCATTGACACAGTTGTTGTCTCTTCTTCCAAAGTAGCATGATGATCAAATATTGGTAATAAAGAAACCTCATCTAATTGATCCTCATGACTCAATGGTGAAGAAGAATTAGTAGAAGTAGAAGTGGAAGAAATGGGCGGAGATGGTACATTATTTTCAACATTTACGCCTGCGCCTTCAGCAGCGGAAGCAGCAGCGGCGGCGACCCTTTGGATGGCTTTAGGAGATAAAGTTGTAGAAGTGTGATGATCAAGATCAATGTGGTGATAGAAAGAGGAGTTGAAAGGGAAATTGAGATTATTAGCAGCAGAAGGGCCTTTGAGGCATAAGAGAGCAGCATCATAAGCTCGAGCAGCAGCTTCAGCAGTTGAATAAGAGCCTAACCAGATTCTTGTTTTCTGATTTGGTGCTCTTATTTCTGATACCCATGATCCCCAGCTTCTCATTCTTACTCCCTTATACTTCTTCTTCTTCATCTTCATGTTGTTATTATTATTATTGTTGCTGTTTGAAGATGATAATGCCATTGTGCTCATGCTTGCTTCTGCAGCTAGGGTTTTCTGCTCGGTCTTCACCATTGGCTGAATCTTTAAACAACAATCAAGAGATTTGAGCGTAGTTTCTTCGATCTATTGTTTCTCTTTCTTTTTTTGCTTCTGGTTCTTGGATGGTTTTTTTGTCTGTGTTTGAGGTGGATGATGAAGTGATGTTGAAGTTATAGGAGAGGATGATTATTTATAGATGGTAGGGTGTGTGCTAATTTGGAGGGGGGGGGGGGGGGGGAGATGATTTGAAGTGAGGAGATCCTTTTAGTCAAGAGAGTAATGTCTACATATGTAAACAACAAAGTGGGAGACAGATATTTTCCAGTTCTTTAATCCAATGGAGAACTTGGATAAATGTCTTTTTTCAATTTAATTGACAATATTGCCCTTTACTTGATAACATTAATCGTATGAGTTTAAGTAATATACTCTATTAGTATTAAAAAAATGTAAACATCAAATTTAGTTAATAATTTATGTTATTTTTAAGATTACAAATCTTACATTTTAATTAGGCTTACCTATTGATATCCTTTGAGTGAACTGATAATATAAAAAACTGTATGTTATTAAAACTCTAATTGTATATAGGATTTTGCATATATATGTTTTGAACCTTAACTTTTGAAACTTCTCATACCTAGTTGTGATTCTATTCTATAAGCGAAATGAGACACTAGCTAACTAGCTCCCTCTGGTTCCTACTAAGGGCTAGCTATTTGTGTATATTATGCTCCTTTATAATTTCAAAATTAAGTTTATTTGCTTTTTATTTGGTTATTTAGAATAAATTCAAACAATTTTTTCAAAGATCGAGACTATGTCAATCTATCAAATATGCGTCCTGTCTCACACACTGGATTTTGAGAGTCGATTTGTATTTCTTTAGAGAGAAAATTTGACATTTGCAAAATTAAATGAATATTGCTACAAATTATGAAATTTTTACTTGTAATATTTTTCTTTTTTCGTCTAGATACCGTTTGGAAGAATCTTAATAAGAGAAATAGAAAAATTAGAAAGACAAGTTTCAAAAATTTCCAAAAATGCGTATCGCGAAAAAGTACGATCGGTAAAAGACTAACAAAAGGCAGGCTTTAATTTGGCAGTCTGGAAACCCATATGGCACCATTTGCAGACCAGCAAGGATATCCTCAAAAGAACTACGCTGATATCTTTCTGGATTACTTGACTTGAACCACAAGTTATCGTTCCCATTGACATCAAGAAAGTGATTTGTGATTTGTGATTTGTATTTCTTTTTTCTTTTCAATTTTATACTTTATCTAATAGTATATGAACGCACTATTTACAAAAGGAAATAGTATTATTTAATTTCGTCACATTAATTCTGTTGAACTCTTATTATGTTATTTTGGAAAATGGCATCACAATATATGGGGATATTGTATAAAACTAGAGCGGATGAGAACTGATTTTGTTACCACTACCTTATCAATGATATTCCTACCTTCAATAATTCTTTCACAGTTTAAAAATGTTTGGTCTTTTAGTGGCCGTTACATGAATTTGCTCACATTGTCGGTTCCAAATCAAATAAAAGATGAGAGTCGCAGCAGATTGATAACCAACATAAAACTAGTCAATTCATAATAAACATGGATAATGAATATTCATATATTCGATCTTGAACTTGCTTGTATCGGGATTGTGGCAAAATAATTATTAATGTTATTGACTATGTTGGGGCATGATTTTCACTAAGGGGGTTCAACAGCTACTATATACATAAAAGAAAAAATTTAACCTCGTAAAGTGTAATTTTTCGGCACAAAGAGTTCGAATGAAATCCTTCAGCTCCTCTAGCTCTCCCCCGGGTGATTGTTGTTAAAAAGAGTTAGTCCTTGATGTTACTTTACTATGATTAAATGGTATATTAAGATAAGAGCATATACTAATTACACTTGATTAAGTGATAAATTTTATGTATATAAATATAGACATGTCATGCATGCACTCCAGTGTATAAGTGTGATCCCCCTTTACAGTAATTCAACAAAACATGGAAAAGAAATACAGTAAAAGTGTAAAACCAATAAGAAATTAAAATTACTCATTTTAAGGGCAAAAAAGCCATTGAGTAATAACAGCATTATTATGAAAATGACATGTCTTAATCAAGAGATCTCGTCATCATATCTTGCATCTATATATTCTGTGCATTATAATAATTGAGTGCTAGAGAGAGAGAAACATAGGATTCTGTCATTAGCAGCTTCCAGGATTCTGCAGGAAGGAAGTGTACATGTACTGAGAAAGAGAAGAGAGGGGCTTAGCAATATAAAATTGCTAAGAGATAGTATTTAATTTCACTTGTACCCTTGACATTGTTCTCAATTGCACAAAAAGCTCTCTTGTAATAGCAACTGTTGTCAAAACCTCCCCATTATCCAGGTAATTAACCTAAGAAAAATATAAAAACGTATTATGTTTCATTACTATTATAGCTAAGCCAAGGATGTTACTTATGGAGATATCAACAAATCTAAAGAACATAACAAGAAAAATAAAACCCTTATTCTATTAACCAGAGAAATAAAACCCTTACTCTCTTTTGACGTGCTATCTACTTAATTTTTTTCTTATAAATTGAAAAACACGTAACTGTAACGCATGCAATATTGAAAAAGAATTGTATATCTTTAAATTGTGATCGATTTTCACAGCAACACAAAGTACCTTCTTGTCTTCCACTGTTCGCAGCTATTTAATCTTGTCGAAATGTCAAGAAGTGTTGATTTTTTGCATGAATAATTACACTTGTAAAATAAAGGGAGCTTTGTGTAACTTCAAATAACATAATGTATATAGTGCAATTATTGAAAACTTAACGTGCTATGGGTGCAATTATGTCATATTTCTTATAATAAAAAATACTCCAGTAAAGAAAGAAAGAAGCTTTTTGTAGTAAGAAGGGGTAAACTAAAGACGCGCAATGGAACAGTAAGATTTAACATAAGATAGAGAGCTTTTTGTCTGAGTAGGAAAACAGCTGTTTCTTCTCTGTATTGCTGAGGCCTAGCTCTCTATTCTCAAAAACGCGTTCTTTTTTCCTTATCTTTTTCTTTATCTATCAAAATCAGTTATGAGAATAACACACTCCCTCTCCAATTAAAGAAATATATGCAACAGTTTCATGGGCTAAAATACTAATAGTAGCTCTTACGCATGCATGATTTGACCCTTTTTTTTTAAATTCTTCCTTAGTTTTCTTTTCCTATCCAGTATTAAGCGCACACCAGAAAGCTAGATGATAAATAAAATGAATAAATAGCACCTCTCTAATAATTTTTCTCTCGGTTTTGACATACAATGTTCTCATATTTTTGTTATTTGAAACAAATTAATTAAAGGAGGTAACCTTTGGTTGAGATTTGAAAGGAAATATTTATTGGCAGAAATGTTAGGAATTGGTTTAGTTTTTGTAAGTGTCTCCAAAAAGTTTTGACCAAACACATACTCCTCCGGTTCACAATAAGTGACCAGTTTACTTTTTCATTTTGGTCCAAAATAAGTGTCCAGTTATGTAATCAAGAGAAAATTCAATTTGTTTTTACTCTTTTACCCTTATGTGCATATCCCTAAAAAGTTTTCTCACTCCTCATTATAACTATGTGACGAATATTTAATAAGGGTAGTTTAGTCATACTAGGTATTTTTATATAGGATTTAGCATTTTCTTAATGGGCAAAGGAAACTGGTCACTTATTGTGAACCGGAGGGACTATCATTTTGTAGAGGTTTTTTTTCTTCTTCCGACATTTTTAGAAGTAATCACTCAAAGTTATGTAAGCAATAATGTGTACAAGATAACTACAACATGACTATGTGCATCATTCTCATGATTAACTTGAGTTTTAAACTTATCCTTGAAAATGCATCTGAAATCTCGTTGAACAAATTATTAAAAAGAACAATGACAAAGGGGATTCATGTGAAATTAGAAAACAAAATAAATTATTTTAATACAAAAAAAGGTGTACATAAAAGAACAAATCCTAATGTGAACTCCCAAATATGAAAGCGTGGCCCACATGGGAAAGGGCAGTGGCCAAAGCTCCTGAAAATAGCAATGTCAAAAGGGAGTCATGTGCCCTTTCCAAAGTGAAAAAGGAACAACAGTTGGTGTTCTGCCGCCGTACCAAAGTCCTACGAATCACATTGATTCTCTCGTTAATACACCAATGAGCTTTGGGAATCTACCCTAGTTTCTAAAACAGGTACTCCTTATGAAAGTGCTAAAATAAGATGATAAACGAATAAATAACAGCATGCGCTAAAAAAATAGGTCCATAAATCATACACTCCCTCCATCTCATATTTACGGTCGTAGTTACTAAAAATAATTATCTCAAATTATTTATCATTTTAAAAGTTCAAGACAAAAAATTAATTATTTTTTCCTTTTTACCCTTAGTAATAATTGTTTTTGAAGATGAAGATAACATATACTCCCTCCGTTCACTTTTACTTGGCATGTATACTAAAAATAGATTTTTATTTTTGCTTGTCACTTTACGCATATCAAGAGAAGACAAAAAAATTTTCCTGCTATACCCATAGTATTTATTACTCATTTCAAATTATTTTCTCAAATCCAATAAAATATGCATCAATTAATATGAGTATCATGGTAAATTATGAATTTCATTTATTATTTCTTAAGGGGCATGAAAAGTCAAAACGCGCCAAGTAAAAGTTAACGGAGGGAGTAAATAGAATAAATATTCAATGAAGAGAGATTATATCTTAAGACATAAATAAGAGTAGAATAGTCCAATCTCTATCTTAATTAATATTTCTTAAGGGGCATGTGAAAAAGAAGTACAACACATAATATGAGACGGAGGGAGTAATTAACTTATGATTCTAATCTTGAGTAATTTTTTTGAAAACAGTTACAACTAATCTTGAGTAAATTTTTTTTTTTTGTTTAAAAAGAAGCCTGAGTGAACTTCTTTCAATGCATTGACCTTCTCCAATTAAATTAAAAACGCTGTTGAGTTCACAACACCACAACAAAAAAACCACAAATCAAAACTCAAAGTCAAAAGGCCACCAATAGTAAAATACACCTGGTGTAACCGCGTAAAGGCCTCGCACACACCAATGCAGCGACAGAGATCTTTGGTTTCGTATAGTAATAGTAAGTGCATTTACAGCGAGAAATAAAAATCATTAAACGTGTTCATGGTTACTT